ATTCTTTATGCCCTTCATTTCAAATTGATCGATATTTTCTTTCTGAATATTCATTGACTGTATGAAATTTGGCAAAATAGATAAGACGTTAACTTGTCTATCGATAGAGATTCTGATTTTTATATCCTTTTTGAACGGCAAGAAGTTGGCTATTATTGTTAACATTACTAATGATAATGAAAACTTTTCAATAGATATAATATGCTTTTAGATCTTAGTTGCTACATAGGTATTAAATAAGTTCCGAATTGGTATCAATTAAAATTTAAAATACCAACCTAATTTTAATATCAGTTTTAGACGATCGAACATTGCTTATTTTCACATTTGGCTATTATAGCTTCAACTTGTGACTCATAAGCAACGAAAGTTTTTAGCGAAGTGACATAGGTAGATTTGATATATACTATTTCACTATATTAGTATCTATTTTTATTTGAAAGTTATAGGATTTAGACCCGAAAAGGGTTTTGCTAAATTTAAAGTTCGATTTGAACAGAAAAGCGATTTAAAGTAAGAGTATATAACTAACTTTACCCGGGTACATTGGGTAGGATTTTATATCCGGATATATCTATAGATCACCCGGGTAACCCGCTGGTTTACCCGTCAGATAACCGGGTAGCATTTTTTTGATCGGGTACCATCACTAGGTCGGCAATCGAATTTTTTTTTTATCAGTTCTATCGGACAATTCCGGAAAATAAGGTCCCTACCGGGCGATATCGGAATAATTTATGGGGGAAATTAAATGGCAAAAATAGAACAATTGGCACAATTGGAACCTAAAAAAAAAAAAATTGAAAAATTGAAAAAATGGGTCGGCGGGTAATGCAAAACGAAAAATTTACTTTGTGTGGCCTAATGATTGTTCAGTATATATTTCGTAGTCACGTACATTTATTGTACTTACAGACTATTACGGTTGCGTAGATAGGGTTATGTTAATTTTATAAAGGACTTATCGTAATTTGTAAAGTGATTTGCCGTAAAAAGTTCGGCTACTGTACTTATTCGCTATGATAAGTGACTTAGGTTTATGTTAATTTTGCATTGGACTTATCATGATTTGTGTAGGGATTTGCTGTAAAAAGTTCAGTTACTGTACGTACTACATAAGTGATTTAGATAAGATTATGTATTGGACTTTTCGTGATTTATATAGTGATTTGCTGTAAAAAAAAGTTCAGTAACTGTACTTACCGACTATTATGGTTGCATAAGTGATTTAGATAGAGTTATGTTAACTTTGTATAGGATTTATTGTGTTGGTATTGTGATTTGCTATAAAAAATTCGGCTACGTACTTACACTTACCGACTATTGTGGTAGAATTATTGATTTAGATAAAGCTACGTATATTAGTTTTGTATTGGATTTACTATGATTTGTATAGCATAGCAATTGGCAGTAAAAAAAATTCGGTTACGGTACTGCATAAATGATTTAGATAGGGTTATGTTAGTTTGATATTGGACTTAACGTGATTTGTATAGTGATTTTCTGTAAAAAGTTCGGGCTCGGTTACGTACTATACTTACTGACTATTGTGGTTGCATAAGTGATTTATATGTTGGACTTATTGTGATTTGTATAGTAATTGCTATAAAAAGTTTGGTTACTGTACTTACTCGCTATAATGACATGAGTGATTTAGATAGTGTTATGTTAGTTTGGTATTTTCAACCAATCAGCATCACGGAAGCGAACTGACACAATCACGTGATATTGTTTACTTAATACCTAGAATACTTTTACTAAACAAACTTCATTACAGTAAAACAAAAGGATTCTCGATCAAACTAATTTGAATAATGATTCTGAAATCGCCATCAATCGAGAGCTAAGTTATATGATTTCACATTTTATTATGCAATTGCTTTGACGTATTTTATCTAATCATTAAACAGATCATATAACCACAAACTTCGCTTATTGGCGACTTTTTAGAACTTCTTATTTATCTTTTTATATGCCTCAGTTTGACAATTTCGGATTTAAACACATGCACCTAAGTAAGACTCGACTGGTGTACATAACATTGATGAATTAAGTGGCATAAACAAAAGTATCTTAAACCAAAGAACAGACAACCTAATAAAAATATTATTTAAATACGGACCCAACGGTTCGCGTTTCCTAGTACTTTATTACAATCTCTATTAATATAATAAATCAATAATCAGTAAAAAATAGCAAAATTATAATAAACGCTTTTACCACTTACTTTGCAAAAATCAGACAATTTCTAGATATGCAGTTATTTTAATTATTTTCCAATAATAGGCAATATATAGTGTTAACTGAAACTTGCAAAATAGCAATTTGCAATTAACTATAAAGTAACTATACACTGTAGTTACTTTGTAGCAGCAATTTTCTTTATACTAACTATATGTTAGCAATACGCCTACTACTATTAATTTTTTTAGTTTTAAAGTTACTATATTATTATTTTATTATTACTATATATTTACTATATATTAGCAATACGCCTACTACTTAATTTTGCAAATTCAATAAAGAAGTTAGCAATTTTAATAAGATTAGTTAAATAATGGTAATTTTTAGGCCTTTATTATTACTAAAATGGTAGCATAATAATTGACAAATATATTTATAAAATTAAATTATAGTAACTAAATGCTAATAAAGTACTTATATTTGCCAAAGTTTGCATTTAAATAGCACATTATCAGTACCGTTAAATTGCTTATTTTTAGCAAGTTCAATTTTGACAAATTTTTGTAAAGTAGTATAGACAATAATTATATAAATTAAATTTCTTGTCATAACATCATAAATTCTTTAAATCGTGATATAACCTTCATAAAAGGTACCATCTTTATAGAAACCTTGATTTTTTAAAAATATAAACAGTATATATCTAACATATAATAAAAGTCTTAGTAAGCTCTGTTAACTCTCTTGTAATAAACTTATTAATATTATAAACATATTATAAACATATTATAAATAATTAAATATATTTATTATAGGACTATTGTATTATTAAAATATTGGAATTTTTTTATTTTATTCTGTTATTATTATTATTATTATTAGATTAATAACAGATTATTTTATATATAAAATTATATTGTATCTATATAACAAACATATTATTAGGAATGAAGTTACAAGAGAGTTAGCAAAAAGAACAAAAATATAATTATTATATGATTAATATGTATTCAAAATATATTTATTATATACTATTTTAAATCGTATAATAATAATATTGTTAATATATAATAAATATATTGTAAACATATTTAGCAAAAAACATAGGTTTCTGTAAAGATTATTCAAGTACTTTTAAAACTCCAAAAACAGCATTATTATTATTTATCCTTGTTATATACCGGTAAATATTGTATTATCAGTATAAATTCAAGCATCACAAATATAATCTAATATATATACATACAGGTTTTAATTATTTCTTATTTTGATTTCACCATCTCTCATGTGACAATAAATAAACATATACTGCACATACTGCACTATTTAATAACCTGCTTTCTCAGAGGGTGTAATGTAAATAAACTACAGAACTATCGCATTAAATAAAGAAATGCCGATTTAACCAAGTTTCATGTAATCTATTCTATCTAGCTTAATATAGTAATGAATTTCTATACTACGTAGCATTTATTCCATTGATCCTGCATTTAGAGACCCGATCCGATGAATAGTATATTCGAATGTTCGAATACATAGTCCTTTCATTGAATTGAATATTCAAATATATAGATTTTTACCGAATAAATCCATTTCATTGAATGTTCATTGAATGTTCATTGAATATTCATTGAATATTCATTGAATCTATACTACCTGATTGATCAATTAAAATGAAGATCAGATGTTAATTATGAATCCGACGAAATAATTACAATATTAGTTTTTCTATTTTAATGTATATAGTATGTGAGTATAATTCATTTTGTTGGTTTGTGTATTTAAAATCACGATTTTATAATATTTGCAACACTATTTTATAAACAATTTATTTTTCCATTCGTTAAAAAAGAGTTACGCATTTATACTTCTAGTCAATACTCAAATTACGCAAATGCGCCACAATGTATGCATGATCAATTTTTTTGTATACCAATATCGAATATTCGATAAATATCACATAATTAAGACTTTTGGCAAATATTCGAATATTAAAAGATTGAACGAATAGGGTGATTCAGAATTAATGTTCGGGTTTCTGATTTCGAATACGTATTTGTTTTGAAATAAGTGATTTATAAAATCTAGTTTTTTTTATATGATGGTAATATATCATAGAAAAATACACTTTTTGTTTTCTAATTTCGGAATTTAAAACCATAAATGGGATTTTTTTAAACTCCCACTTATTTTCGATAAGTTAATTCTGAATCACCCTAATGAATACTCGTTTTTGACCGGATCAGACCTCCCTACCTCCTGCATTTATCGGCTTAACCGACTCATTATTGCAAACAAGCCTAGCCAATTTTATATCAAAGTTTAATTTTACCATGATAATGATTTTTATTTGAGTATAGTTTTCAGGTATAGCGATAAGCCCATTTACTTGCAAACATAGCACCACTGTTGTTTCCAATTCCTTATTATAAGATCTGATAATCCACTTAGCATCTTTATTTGCTTCGCTTATATCTGTGTGCCTTATAATCATTAACACGAATATACGCACCAATGATACCTCATGAGGCGTAAAAAAGGTTTTATCTATTGAAAGATTTAGATTAGATACCAATCCATCTGATTGGTTGTCAAGTCCTTGAAATTTTATTGGCTATTTAAATTAATACAATCGACCATATCGATATGGCAAATATCAACGAACATATTTGATTAAACTTGATAGAAATAACAATTTATTATGACAATTTATTGCTACTGTTATTGTATTATCAAAGGCTTTGAAAAAATCGATTAGACAAGCCAAAAATCAGTTCCAACTGATTTTTCATTATTGGTCAGGAACTACTAAATTATCAATCAACAGCTGATAGTTCGTAATCAAATTCATCATCCTCACTAGTTCTTTCATCACCTGAAGGAATGTTCGATTCGGATGGTGGTGCAACAGATGGAGTTAAATGATTCTTTGATGATGGTGACTTAACTGAAGCCCACCTTGCGGTAGATTTTGGTGTTAAATTTCCTTGGTAGTTTTGTCGAAGTTTGTCAGTTATTGGTGTAGACAATGCATTTTTTTCCATCTTAATCCCTTCGGGCATCAATTTGTCATTATTTTCAATAAAATTCTTTTCATTTATTTCATTGTTAACTTCTACCAATTGAAATAATATAACAAAGAAAACCACGGAAGAGTCACGTGTCTTGCATACATATCGAAAAGGCTTTAGTTACAATAGCAAATTTTCGAAAAAGAAACAGAATTCATAACGCATCAGCGTGAGATCTTAATCATAAAATCAAAAAATATTGCATAACAAACGACAATTACTTACTTGACCATCCCAATACTGTAATATACCGATTTCAAGTCCAGGCAACTGTATACAAGTATTTTGTCAATGTGATTTAAGGATACTTACGATTACTTACGATAATATAAAAGTTACCGAATTTATTATACATACCTTCACTGCGATCTTATTGAAATCTATATACGAATTAAAAAAATCAAGGTCCCAAACTTGATTCTCTGTAATTTTAAAATTCACACGACTTTCTTTTGAAGAAAAATATTGTTTGCGTGAAGTTGCATCGGTGGAAACCGGGGATCCAAAGTTAGGATCATAAATAATATCCTCCTTAATATGTTCACCGTTCGGAGAAGGCCATGGAGGTAAATCATTATTCTCATTTGAATCTTGAATAGCACGAGCAGAATTAATAGTAAAAAGCAACGGACTATATGCCCAAGGTATATCAGAATAAATATCAGCTTCTAAACAAGGATCGACCCATTTCATTATTCTCAATCCCAACCAACTGATGGCAGGTAAATCAATCTTGCGATCAAAATCATTCTGAAAAACCAAAACGCACGATCTTAGATATGTATCAGTGTAATAAACGATTCTTAAAAAAATGAAATACCCCAAAGAGAATATCATCAGCTGTCCATTTGTTCCCTTTAAACCTTCCTTGAATTTGTATAGAATATTGATAATTATTTCCATCAAAATAAGGACTTAAAGATAGTTTTTTTTTTCCAGGTGGAGTTACACCTTGAAAATCTTTAACACGAATACAAATTCTTCCTGTGAAATATTCCGTATCAATAAAGAAAGGGTTCGCGTCATCATTAGGAAGGAAAATAGAGTGTGTAGACGGATCATATGAAGATCCAACAGTTATTTTCAATTTTAACATTTCGAAAGTAAAAAGTAAAAGTAGAGCGGAGTGATGTAAATCTGAAATGATCAACAAAAACAACGTGTGATCGCGATCATGTGTGGTCGTGTACAGTACATCATGTGATAAGGATTAGCCAATCATTTTATTTTACTAATCTGTTGATCAATAGCAGGGTACACCCCGATTGTAAAAGGCAAAATCTAATTAATATGACGGATTTAAGATTCGCGAGATACACGATTTTTGACGTGCTCTATATAGTTTTGGATCATTCCTAAAATAATAATGGTTATTTATTTTATAAAATTTTCCAATTGGAGAAAAAAGTATATAAAAAAGGCTTTTGTAACAAAATCATTCGCAAACCAATAATACTGTAATAAGTAATGTATATATTATTTATTGTTATTGCCAACTGAAATTTAGTTATTACAAGAAAAAAAAAAATATACAAAGTAAAATGGATATATATGATATATATATGAATTTTCTACCAATTATTTTAATATTTAACATATAAAGGCGTAATTATGCATAACTCAGGGAAACTTTTGAAACGAAAAAAGTAATAAAACAGAACTATTTTGAAGGTTTAAAAAGAGTAAAACTATGATGCATTTTAGTCATGGTAAATTAACAAATTCACAAATCTTCAAATTCACCGGAGTTTAAAAACATAACGGCAGGTTATTATATACAGTATTATTAATACTATTTAAGTGATAATCATTTCCTATTTATAATGGTCAATGAGAAATCTTTTTATTTCCACATGGTTAAAAAAGGCTATTTGCGGTTAATAAGTAAAGACTTTTTGGTGAATCACAGAACGCACAGCCATCCCCGCGTAAGTGGATTTTAAGAGTCCAGGGTTTTTTGGTTTAACTTAATTCTATCAACATTGGTGTCAATATCATGATAATAAATAACATAAGCTCTCCACAAATTTCCTAATTAAAATTCTTGTAAGAACGTCATTCTTTAAAAGATCGTGCGGATCCGCGTAAAATTCTCGTTTTCATGTGGCAAACGGACTCATACTACCAATTATAATATTTTTGTCTAACTGGTTGTTTGTTTATGAAACACTAATGTACTATGATGATCAAAAAGGGAACGCACGAGTGAAAATGAAAAAACGAGGTACAGGAGATTAAACAGTGATATAGACAGATATGAAGATTGTGTTCAATATTATCAACAAAAGTTTTAGAGCAATAATTTTCGATGATAAATAATTCACATCATACTTATAATTTAACCTCTCCTGAACACAAACATTTGATTCACACTTTCTCAGGAATCATTTAAGAGAACGGCTAAATTCGTGGCGATGAATTTACAGTTTCATTCATAAATTTCATAAATACAGTATAAAGGAGTGTTATCGCATAATCTTTAATGTCTTTAACAGTTTAATATTAGTGTACATATCAAAAAATGTAATGTAACTCTACTTATAAGGTTGGACCAAAAAAATCGACCAATCATGAAAGATGTTAAATATAATATTTGGAAGATTCGAAAGATATGAAAGATTAAGTGAAATATTTTCGGATCGGTGTCAACCTGTCCGGCACGCACGAATATAACGTAATAAAAGATATGAACATATTTGATAATATTATATCTGATATATGCACAAGGAAAGCGTATAATGAATAACACGAGAAATTTCACAAATTTAATAATTTGATTGTGATTGATAAATATGGTTAATATCAAGTATTAGAAGTATTAGAGGCATTAGATCAATTAGATAACACAAAATGAAAATATTGACTCCTGCAATAACCTGTAATAATTCACGATTTTCGAAAAAACGTTTCCAATGATCCGAATATCAATCGATTTCCTAACTGCTAAATTTGATATTGTTATTGATTTTATTGTTCATCTCGCGTGGCATATCTTCACGTGGGCATTCTCAAAACTTTATAGTTTTTTTATTTTTTTTATTTTTTTTATAGTACTTTATCGAACGAATTATTGAAGTCATTCAAATACGGGAGCAGTTAGACGACTTTTGGGAGGAACCTGACCTGGTTGTATCTATCACTCATGTACATATGTATGCACTGTACAACGATTACCAGCGATTACTAAATCCTTAATTAAATCGTGTACTACAGTCAGATTCTTTTCACACTCAACATAAATGAACTGATTTCCCACTCTTTGCTCTCTTGAGATTTAAGCACATGAGCCGATCTTCCTTTTTAATCTTTTGACCACTTTTTGTGGAAGTTAAGGCGTTCTCGACAATGAAACAGATCAAACGATTAATAATTTGGGTGATTGATTGATTCAAATTTCTATCATTCACACATGACTTTTGTGAATTCTTGTAAAAAAGTTAAAAGAAAATTTTCAATTTTCATGCTTAATTCTTTCTCTTTACATGCTTTGTCCCATGAGATCTGCATAAAGATAGAAAGGATCAAAGAAATTAAAACGCCCGAGATTATAAAACAGTCCACATCTTATTATGTGAAAGTTTTCTTTGTTCCATTTTAAAAACCCATTGTTACTATTGTTACTAATATTCTCCAATATTATTCTATAGTCATGCATATTTATATTCTTTATTTTTTTTTTGCTTTTTTTTGTTGCTAGTTTCGTTAAAGTGGACAGGTGGACAACATAGTTTGCGCCATTGTAATTGTAATAGCTTTGGTTGCTTTACAGTTTTAGTAATTGGAAAAATAGAATGGACATGAAAATACGGTAACAGTTGTGGAAGATCTCTTTGATATGGTTTATTACGGGTACATGGAATACACGGGATACATGGGATACATGCGATACGTGGAATACATAGGAAGTCGCGAAGAAAAAAAAAAAAGATAATAAGAGATAATGAAATGTATGAATCAAGAAAACACTATATTAAATTGTTTCAAGTGTTTCATGCTTCTCTTCGCACAGATCATATGACATAGCTTCTAGTTACGTGTTCTTGTGGAAAGAATTTAGAGCTAATAGAGAAATTTCTAAGCTGATCATAGGAATTCGTTTGAATTGATAAATGGAAATGTGTATGCGCGATTATCATTTACCTTATCGGTAAATGTTGAAAGTTAATGGATGTGCTAAATAATCATCACCATAAAAATTTTTAATGTGCTTTACATTTTATCACCTCTAAAATAGTGTCACCTTACTTTCTTTGTTGCATTTTAATTAAAAAATTTTTTTTTAGTAATTAGAATTAGCGTTATTGAGAAAAAAAGTTATCGCTACTAAAATTCATAAAGTTTCATTAAGTAATCAGATATTTTACTGAAATTGAAGATTTGAAATCGAAACTGTAATTGAAAAACGACATTAATGGTCATATTAGTATAGCAATTTAGTAATATTTCAAACAACTTTAATCTCTTCTCGACGAACAATAAAAATAAAAGAAAGCAACTAAAGAAACAAAAATAACAACGATATGCAAATCATTGCGCCAAGTTACGAAGTGAAATACATGCAGAAAGGATTGAAAGAAGGAAAAATGGTGAATTTCTTCCAAAGCAAGTAACTGTGGGCGCGAATGGGATACATGAAGGTAATTTTATTTATCATTATTCCCTTCAAAAAATACAATGCAAAGAATGCAGAATCATGCATCGTGCAGGGTTCTTGTCACGCAAATTCGACCCATGGATTCACAGATTTTTCTGTGGGGCATTTTTATTGAAGACTGTTAATAATCATTTGTTGACAGTTTGCATTATAACTTTTACCACAGTTTTCTTTTTTTTTTTTTTTTTTTTTTTATATCAACTTTTTTTTTTTTTTATTGTTTCTTTAGGAATACAGTCGTCAACAATGCAATATGTAAAAGAATGCGGTGTAATCCAGTTTCCAAATTTAATGCCAGACATGATAAAAAGTAGAATGTTTATAAAGATAAATAAAGATGTAAGATGATCAAAAGAACCTTTTTTTTCTTTTTAAACATTATTTGAATGGTGTTTGTAGATGTTTTAGTTAAGTCTCCACAACATCAATAACGATAAACTTTTTTCAATTTTGTAATATTTTCATCTTTGTCTAGACGATCATGTTGTAAATGGTTTCGGAAAGTGTATCTTTAACAACAATTAGCACAATAACCATTATTCATCATCAGAAATACGTCAAGAAGCATACAGTCGGCCAATACGGTTAGTTGATAAATGCAAAGCGCATTTAGGCACTATAGGCTTTATGCAGTGGTCTATTGTTTTTACATTTACATTTAAAACAATCGATTGAAAGACAATGTTTAACGATTGAACGAAGATTTAATAAACTTATGTACGTAAGTATTTAAACACTTTAGGTATATATGTATGTATTATGTACAAAGGGGTAAAATGATTTAAAGAATAACAATTCCTTGTTTAATTCACCTTTTTAAGCGAAAACAGGGCAAATTGTAACCAAATTAGGGACTCGACGCAAATTATCCAAGTTACCAAAAAATATTCCAGTCAGGAATCAAGTTTTTGAGTTAGAGAAATATTAAAAGATCAAAATAATTACGTACGTACAAGGGAGGGTTTCGCGCCAACCGCCAAGATAAAATAACCGGAAATTTAGAATAATGGATTTATAAAAAGATTTATTTGAAGATCATATATAAAGAAGTTGGTGAGATCGAATCGTTACAATTCTACGCAATAAATATAAAACAGAGTACGTAACACGGAAAATAAAACCCAAAGTTAGACGTATTGATTGTTTATTAAAACCAGTTTGTCTATTCTTATTGGGACATTCCTCATATTTTAATAATTTAATAATTTAATAATTTAATAATACTTTCGTAATAGAATTGTAATGAGAATAAAAACATTTTAGTAGGAAAATTGGCAAAGATCAACACAACAGGCAGATGATGTTTATTGTTTGTACATACGAATTGAATTGAAGGTGGGGTTTGATATTTCAGAATTTTGTGGGGAAGATTTGTCGTACAAAACAATTTGGTAGTCAAATACAATAACGATTATCAACTATCAACTATCGAAATCAACGGCACCACATGAAAATGTAACTGAAAGGCTTTTTTCATTTATAACTAAGTTAAATGTAACTAATAGACCATCTCAATCCCTTCAGGCGAAAGAACTTTAATGGGTTGGTAGATTTAAAACCTGTTTACCCCACAGTGGGTCATGTGATAAAATAAGCGTAAACAAACGTGGGAAGCACATCAATCAATTTTAAATAATATTTGAGTTGAAGGATAGATGTGACCACGTAAGCGGATGTAAAAGGCAAAGTGGAGACTACACAGGTGATTGGAACACAGGATATTTTCAAGATCTACAAATCCTGATCATTTTTTTTAGGAAGAATATCCAGTGCAGTAGTGTATAAAAGTTATAAAGTAACGCCATTTTGTAGTTTATATTCTTTTTATTTCTAAAAGATTTCTTTTTCGGATATTAACAAGATTTTGTAGATTTTCCTTTAAGGAAGATTGACTTCAAAAATAGTTTTAAAAATTTAAAATTTAAAATTCTTGCTGTTTTGTCAACAATAAATATTAAAACTTAGATAATCAAAAAACCTAATAAAACTTGCAATAACTTGCAATTGTTATTTTACTCGATTTTTAGAGTAGTTTGGATAGGTCACGGTTAGCAATTTATAAATTTTTCATATGTTAAATTGTTAAAATAGATAGTGGCTTGGTATTACAAGTCCCATCAATTTTATGATTATTCATTTATGCTTAGCGTTAAAATATTAAATTATTAAATTATTAATAAATTATTAAAGTATTAAAATATCATTAATATTCCCCTTTATTTCACCATATCAATTATCGAGTTTTAAATATACTTTTTAAAAAATTTTTTTTTGGAAAATTGGCGCAAACATATCATTTATATATCGTAAATTGGCGTTGCATTTATCACCCTTCACAACCCTTCACACCCCTTCTGTGTGATTATATCGAAATATATATGTCGCAGATATCGTTCTATTTTTGTATTTTGTATTTCGACCATTCATTTAAATATAACGATAATAAAAAGAACAAATCTTCTAAAACGAAGTGTTTGAATTCTTTTTTTTTCTTTTGCACTTCTAAATGACATCATTAGAAGTGTTGTACTGCATTTGAACCTCTAATTTCAATCCACCCGTAGCAATTGTCTTTGTCATTACCTACATTATTTACCTAAGTACTACGCATAACTAAATGTCTACTAAAGAATTCTTATTTATCGGTAAAATGCATTGCAGATTTAGGATTTGCCCAGAAAGCAAATTCATACTTCTAAAAAATAAATTAATCATTAGCACATGGAATAAAGTGATATCCAACCCACATGTGCCTTCTGCGATCAGCACATCGTTTTGACCCTTTAAAATTCCTTATTTGCATGAGTCCCATAAGGTCATCGAGTTTAAAAAAGCCATGAAAGATTCAACTTGACTGTTGGGCTGTGGTGGTACCGTTGTTTGATCATCTATTTCTTTTGTGGATGTCTTGTGTTATTGTTGTTCGGTTGAATGCATACTTATCCGATTACATTCCCATTTTCACACGAAAACCACATGAGAATGAAACAGCTTGCACATAATGATATCATATTTTTTATAACAAATCATACATAAATATATACACAACATACTAAAATTGTCAATATCGGAAATAAATCAATGTCTAAAAAAAAATTGGATTTATAGTTTTTATATCTCACCTCTTTCTCGTCACTGGGTTCATAATCGTTGCCACACTCGAACTTTATTCTCTCTTCACTCCTTCACTCTGTAAATCTAACATAAAAAAAAAATATTTATTTTTATAATAATAATATGTATATAAAAAAAAAAAAAAGACAATATACTTTTTTTTTTTTTATCACAATTTGAATAAATTCGAATATATTTGAATAAATTTGAATATATTTGAATATATTTGGTTACTTTATATTTGTACCGTATAACAAGGGAGTAAACAGGTATGTAAACTGCTTTTACACACACTGCAACAATCAGAGTACAATTCATCTCTGAACATTAAAATCTAACTTCTTTTCTCCGTCTACCCTGACTGACGAAAACTTTTTCTGAAATCTAAATTGACAGAAAAAGTTTCGACTACTCGGTAGCTGGTAGTGGAGAATAAAAAAAAATTTTTTTACATTAACCACATAATACATTGAAAAATACCTGAATATATACATTATATATTCCGTCTTGTATATATATATCCTGCTCCTTTTTTTCGATAATTATATTTCCTCTGTTAAATAGAAAGCATACACACCACGACCATTCTATTACTATTTTATTCTATTATTTATTTTATTCTATTCTTTTTTATGCTCCTTTCACAAAGAACGTTATTGTTGTTAGTCCGTTCTAGTCTGAATGCAACATCGTGTGTTCTATAAATAATATTCTTCAACGTTCCACCGCGAACATATACTTTTAGTTAAAAGGAAAAAAATAAAAATAAAATAAATCCAAATTAACGTTAAAAGCATTATTAAAAAGTTTCGAACAAAAATTTAAGAAACTTTCACTAATAAAAGATGATCAAGATTCCTCCCGCGACTCCCCGCATTAAGACAAAATTGTCTCTAGATACAAATTATTCTAATATGGGCTCACCAGCATCGCCTTCCTCACCGACATATAGCCCTTGCGCTTCACCTACGCTTTCGGGCTCTTGGAATATGAGTATGAAATCTCACGCTGAACTCACCGCTTCATTGAAAGAAGCTTATAATTTAGTAAAGGAGAAAGAAAGAGGTAAAGATTCTATAATTGTTTTTGAAAAAAAAAAGTCGTGACCGATTAAATACGTTGTTTAAAAATTACATATACATACATATAATTTGTGATATTTACGCGTGATGTTAATTTTTGATGATGTAATTGATAGAGTACCCATTGTTCACTTTATTTAACGATTGGTTAAAGGTTTATTAATACGATTATTTACCTTTTTTTTTTTTTTTTTCTTTTTCTTTTTTTTTTTATATAGATCTTACTCTTGCTGCAGAAATTGGCAAAAGTCTTCTTGAAAATAATATAGCTCTTAAAGCAAAATATGAGGAACTCGTCATTGAATATCAACAATTACAACGTAAAGAGCGAAGTAAAGCTACTTTTGCTTTACACGCTGAAAAACCAAACGTTGTTCCGATAGCTCCTCCTAGTAGTTCTGTTATTGAAGAAAGTGATTTTGAGGATAGTGATACGGATTTACTCCATAATAGTTCCTTTGAAGCATCACCTCAATTAAAATACGAAAGACCTGATAAATTAAGGAATCGTAAAAAGAGTGATCAACAAAATATTAGTTATAAAGATCTTGAAAACATTAAAGAATTAGAACTTAGAAATCAATTACTCACATCTCAGCTTGATGAACTTATGAGAGAACATAATGAGAGTGATAGATCTAATAAAACAAAAATACGTAAATTAGAAACCGATCTTCAGCATTATCAAGATGTTTATTCATCTGCCACCCATCAAATAGAAATCTTGGAACAAGAAAACGAACGTTTATTACAAAAACAAAAAGCAGATTTTTGGAATATTAAATATAATAAAAAATCATCAAATGATGATGATATTATTGAAACTTTACTAAATAAAGTCACAGATTTAGAATCTCAGAATAATGCCGTTGAACGTACCAAAGCTGAAATCGAGAAACGACTTCAAAGAGCTGTACGGGATTTGGATGCACTTCAAGAACAATTTAATGATTTGTCTGAACAATCAAAAGATTATGAATTATTAAAGATTGCAAATCGAGAACAAGAACTTCTTATCAATGAGCTCAATGAATCTCTGGAAGAACAACGTGCTATGATCATGGGTATGAGGTCAAATATGTACTCGAGAAATCCTTCAAGGTCAAACTCTTTTTCTTTTTCTGATAATGGTATGATGACAAATGCTTTAAGGCGACTAAGTAATCCCGATGGTGTAACACCGGCAAGTCCCAATTCACAACAACAAGGTTTTGGTAGTAAAATTCGAACAACTTTACTTTCTGAATTAGAAAATGTGTGGTTTAAAGAAGCAAACCTATTTAATAGAGATAGAAGAAAGTCTACTTGTGAATCACCACCTGCTTTCTCCCCTATCTCTTCTGAAAAAGATTTAGCCAATTTCTTTTTGAATGGTTCACAACCTGATGATGATATATCTCAATTAGATTATTTATCTGATGATGATTTTAGTTTCTTGGATGAATTTGAAGAAGATGATGAGATGGCAATGCGTAAACGAGAATGGTTCTGGAGGCGGTGGGCAAGATACGTATATCGATGCCTTCGACTTATTTGGCGTTGGTGTCGTTTTATTCTTATCCTATTTTGTGCTGTCATAATGGCTCTATATCGTGGACCTGATGACATTCTACCAAATGAAATTTGATTGGGAAAACCCGAAGAATAAAAGATCAGTCTTAACCAGATTGATTTTTAATTTTGTATTTCTAATATTTTATTAATAAAGTTTTCATTTTGTGTATTTCTAATATTTTATTAATAAAAGTTTTCATTGAATAAAGCAATTTTTTAGAGTTTTGTATTATTTGTTTTATTCTATTTTTGTTTCGTTTATTCTCTCTTTGTTTTATTTTTCTCACCTTAACTCGGTGAGTTGTACTATTTTTTCCTGTAGGATTACCTCTTTTGTCATCTACTTCGAATATTTCATTAAATTCGCAATCATGCGTTTTCATTTATTCCGTGCCTTTGTGTCCACC